GCCCACTCATTCTTTCCTCCCGTACTTTATATTTATGAGTGCTCCTCGTCGGCCTCACTAAGGAGGGTTTAAAAAAATGCTTGAGCCGGTGCTCTCGCAGTGCCTTGCCAGCAGAAGTGAAGTAAGCTTTTTGCCACTGCCAAGATGGCGGAAACATGCTATTTTAGGGGCAAAGCTCCTTATAGCGGCACTCGTTCGTCCCTCGTAGTCTTAGTCGTAGTCGTAGCCATAGTGTGTAACAAGTCTTACGTTTTGACCTGCAAGGTGGTTCCGGTGGGAAATTTCTCCTGTGCATTGTTGAACAATAAAAAATTTGCAGCGTGCGCGTTCACTAAAAGCCGAATTCTCCTGTGCTTCATTGCCCCTTAACATTCATTTGCATGTACATTGAGAACTGTCTGACAAGACAGGGTTGCTACGTTATACAGGCTGGGCGTAACCGTCCCCAATTTTAGAAAGCTTTAGCGAGCATTGAGCCGCAGTGCCACGAATACAGTGAAGCTGTTTATGCCATGAGAACAAGGTGGTTAAATGTGGGAAATAGGTACGAAGCGCAAGCCGCAAGAAAGTAAAAGCCGAATTCTCCTGTCTCTCGTTCCCCATTAGCAGCCATTGGCATGTACATTTTGCACTTTCTGACAAGAAAGGGTTTCTACACTGTACTCGCCAGGCGTAGCTTCCTTGGTTTTAGAAAAGTTTAGCGAGCGTTGGGCCGCAGTGCCATGAATACAGTGAACTAGTATATACCATAAAGTCGAGGTGATTAAAGGTGGGAAGTAGACATGAAGCGCAAGCCGTAAGAAAGTGTGCGCGTGCCACATCTCGTTTAGTCCTTGAAATGTCCGCTGGATGGCGGTGCTTTTATATTGGGAATATATGATGAAAAGTTGCGAGATGGTGGTACTTGGAGCGTTGAATAGATGGACGAACGGACACACAGACAGATGCATGGACGGATTCACGGATGGTTGCATCGACGGATGGACGCATGGACGGACGCAGGGGCGGATGCATGGACCTACGCATGGACGGACGCACAGATGGACGTGCGGAGGCATGAACATATGCACGCACGGATGGGCGAATGGACTCACGGACGGTCACACAGACGTACGCATGGACGGACGGAAGCAAGAACGAATAAACGGACGGATACTTCGCCCCACTTTCCACAATGCACTCCGTGAATATGCTGCCACTTTTTGGTAGTGCCCACTTCAAGATCGAGTGGCTTTGATGTGTTAATGTTAATGGTACGTTGTTTCTACATTAACAAATAGTTGCCCCCGACGAAATAAGACTCAGAAACGAGTCCGGGTGAATAAATCTACAAAGAACTTTGCCTCCAATTAGAGGTTTACTATGACAAACTTTTAACACTAAGTCACACTTGGAGCACTATGTGACCCGAAAAGGTTTCTACATTAAACTCGTTGGGCGTTAAGAGGAACGCTCTGTTCTTAATCGCCTAATTATAATAGAGTGTAACGCCCCTAGTTAAAAGGGCGCCACAGCCGCCATATTGATATAGGCAGGCCTTCACTCCTGGGCATTCATTTGCAGTCCAGCGTTGTTTTATCCTCCTTGAATATCACTCATTTGTCTTGCCCTCCTTCTCAACCTCGAATACATTCCCTCTTTTTCCACTTTTCCTTCCGACCCCTTTGTCATACCATACTATGCTCCTTCCTTGGCTTTGTGTGCCCTTACATAGCTACGCTCCACCCCCTTCTCTAGATTGGCTGCTCCTCGATTTGCCCGATTGAATGCGGGAAGAAAGCTTTTTAGAAACGATAGTCTTTGTTGAGGTACTTAGACGCAGAAATTTCCGTCTGTCTTTCTGTAGTTGTTTGTTTCTCTGCCGTAAAGATATCCTAAATGGCACCAAGTGATACCCCAAACGGCCAGCCCCGTACGCAGTGCCCACCAGTATTGCTCAAGTTTTAGCGTTCCTACATGTGCGATTGTCAAGTAAAAAACAATTATTGCGCTTCCGTGAGGCACCATAACAACACGTCAATATTTTGCGTGTGTGTGTCTTTACACTAGAGAAGGCACACATAAGTCATTCTAAGGACCGTAACGTTAATCACGCCGCACTGACAATGCAATGTGATGCTCAAAAGGCAAGGGTTTCCAACGCTTTGCTGAGACGACGCGCTGGTGGCACCTGCCCGTCACTTTGTGTTCTACACCTTATTGCGTCCAAGACAGGCGCGCATCTTTTTCTGTGGGTGCGCACGCTTTTCTTCGTTTTTGAAGATATTTGCCAGAGAGCACTCGTGCCTAAAGTGCCTCGATGCACTCGTTTGGCTTCGTAGTAGTAGTAGTACAAAACTTTATTTCGTACATAATCGAGACAGGCTAGAACTCTAGCGCCCCGAGGAATATACAGGGTGAAGAGCGAAGTCTGTCTGGCAATGTGGTGCCCCTATTCTAGGGCTCCACTGGTACGACGCATTAGTTCAGCTCTGTGGATCAGTCGCAGCCTTCGCTGCAGGGAAAGAGACTCTCCAACAATACGATTCACCAATTTTCTCGCACAGAACCTCAAATAAACATTTTGTTCTCTCTCTCCACGTGGAATACTGTCGTCTTTCGACAAAATTCGCCGTGAAACATGTAGATACGGGGCCATTTTTTTGTGAAAGCTGCTTTACCTGCATTGATTTAGCAATTCAGGTTTTCTAGTTTCATGGAAGGTCATATGCAGTCATCAGTTTCAAAAGATCTGAAACATGATTGTCAGCCTAACATTGCAGTTTCAATATCACCCTTTACCAGTGACTCTTATGCCAGCTCCGGCGGCCGAAGGGTGGGAACGTGTTTATCATGTGCTCCCCAGGGGTGGTATAAGCGGCTGCGGTAAGTCAAGGTAACAGGAACGATGAGCAAGATAGTGACGACTAGGAAGCAATTTTGCCTACGCTGCCATCAGGCCGTCGTGTTTCGAATACTTTAGGGGAGGACACGCCACTTGGCGTCGAGCATAGCCGTGCGTTTGTTTTGCTCCATTCTTTTTCACTAATTTCGCCGATTTATTGAGTCGCACCTTCATCAACATACATTGGTCGGATGTATGAAGTCGTGTGAACCTCCAGGAACCAAAATTCTGAGGTAGGGGACCACTTTGACTGAATTTAAAAGACTTTTCAGTGCCTGCGAGCAGCGCCCATTCCTGGGCCTAACGTTGACTTCGGCTTCGGACGGAGAAGCAGTAGGCCTAGCGCAAACTTCGGCGAAGACGCTAGTCAAAATCGAACTTTCAGTGAATACGCCAGTGAACATTGCCCTCAAATGACTACCGCTATGTGCGTGGAAGTGGACGGATACGAAATTTCACCGGACGAGTGCACAAGATCGCAAGACTGGAAAACTGCCGGCGGGAGAGTCAGGCTTAAAGGCGCGGACAAGCGAAGCCTAAACCCTGCACTTTGAGCAAGCCAAGAGGGCGCGGAGGCCACGCATGATATCAACAGCCGGGGCAACCACCTCGACGATGGCGCCACAGGCAGCGATAACGTACCTCAAGGGCGAATCGCTTAAAAAGGGGCAAATTGTTGAAGGGCTTGCGCAAGCCAGATTTGCCGTGCGGCGACATAAAGATCGTGTGGCGACCGAGAGGTGGGCTCCACGTGAGTGATGTGACCCGCGTTAAACTAAGTCGTGCGATCGCGGCGGCGGCACAGATCCCCGCAAATGAAGCAAACTAAGACGTCGTGTGCCTCAACCTCCAGCATAATATCGTCGTGGTGAGCACTTCTAAAAGAGAGCACGCCAACCACTACGCTGCTGTTGGAACAATTGATATACGTGCCACAGCGCACGAAGTTAGTACTTACGAAGTGGCCCCCACAGCGGCGTGAAGGGCGTCATAAGGGGCATCCCACTCGAGGACAAGGCCCAAAAAATTCAGGCCAACGTTGTGCAGAAGCATAACCCAACGACCCTACTGCAAATCCGTATGGGTGAGACCCGATCAGTCGTCATTGCTTTCGAAGGGTTCAAAGTACCCAACTACTTGAGATACGCCAACCTGCTTACAGAGTGCACGTTGCACAAACAACAAATCGACGTATGCTATTTGTGTGGAAGAGCGGGTCACAGAATGGAGGTGTGCCCGGATGATTTGAACAAGCTCTGCTGCGGATGAGGAATCTCTAACCTCCTGAAAACCACAATTGCATCGCAAAGTGTGGCCTGTGCGCAGGCAATCACTTAACCGCGGCAAGGGCCAGCGAGGCCCGCTTTAAGATGCCCTATATTGTCCGCCAGTGACGCTGGGAGCAGCGCCGAGCGTAGAAGCAATACGACACCAAGAAAGATAACCGAGAAAAGAGAGGCCCTGCTGGTGGACCCCGCCGTAGCGCCTCCTAACAACGAGACCGGTCACAAACGCCTCACTGCAGCAGAAACAACAGGGGCGGCGGAAACGGCTGCCAGAGCCACTCCCAATCGATGCCAAGATTGAAGGGCGGCAAAGGCGGTGGCAACCCCCGCTGTGAGACGACGCATAGGACCGCCTTGGTGTCCCGGGCCGCTTCGAAACCCCGGACTTGCTTGTGCTGCCGGGCCAGATCGAGCTCCAGGGCCGGTTCGAAGCCCCGGAACGAGTCAACCGAGCACCGAGGGATTGCCGAAAAGAAGGTTGGCTGGACCAGCAGGTCTCCCGTCGCGCGAACCAGTGAAACCGAATCCCCACCCCTCACCCCCACCCAACCTCTTAAAACGAATAGGCAAAGGGACACAAACGAAGTGACAGAGCTTAAGAAAATCACTGAGCGTCGAAATCCTCAGATCAAGGAGCAGAAAGCCCATATATATTTCGCCGGTGCCGCCGTGCCGATTGGGCACGGCGGCACCGGCGAAATGACGGTCACTAACCCGTTTGTCTTCATCGTGCAGTTGTCCATCGGTCTTCTTGCATCCGTGGGTGATGTACGTGCTATGCCAGCACGATTGCCCGGGTACGCGCCAGACACAAGCTTCGTCAACTTCCACGTGACGGAGATAACATGCCCGGCGCCTTGGGACTGCCAGCCCAGATCCGTGACCAGGACCACGTGTGATGATCTACGTCACCAGCACCCAGCGCCGCCTCACAGTGCGCCTATAAGTAGCCTGCCTCCTCGCAGTGCGTCCATTGGGCACGGCGGCACCGGCGAAATGACGGTCACTAACCCGTTTGTCTTCATCGTGCAGTTGTCCATCGGTCTTCTTGCATCCGTGGGTGATGTACGTGCTATGCCAGCACGATTGCCCGGGTACGCGCCGGACACAAGCTTCGTCAACTTCCACGTGACGGAGATAACATGCCCGGCGCCTTGGGACTGCCAGCCCAGATCCGTGACCAGGACCACGTGTGATGATCTACGTCACCAGCACCCAGCGCCGCCTCACAGTGCGCCTATAAGTAGCCTGCCTCCTCGCAGTGCGTCCATTGGGCACGGCGGCACCGGCGAAATGACGGTCACTAACCCGTTTGTCTTCATCGTGCAGTTGTCCATCGGTCTTCTTGCATCCGTGGGTGATGTACGTGCTATGCCAGCACGATTGCCCGGGTACGCGCCGGACACAAGCTTCGTCAACTTCCACGTGACGGAGATAACATGCCCGGCGCCTTGGGACTGCCAGCCCAGATCCGTGACCAGGACCACGTGTGATGATCTACGTCACCAGCACCCAGCGCCGCCTCACAGTGCGCCTATAAGTAGCCTGCCTCCTCGCAGTGCGTCCATTGGGCACGGCGGCACCGGCGAAATGACGGTCACTAACCCGTTTGTCTTCATCGTGCAGGTAAGAAGACAATACGATTACTGTATACGTTCTGGTGACCCATTTTTGCTGGTGCTGCCGTGCCCTCGGCTTTGCTGTGCATTTGCGAGTGTGTTGCTATTTTTAAGAAAGCTTCTTTTGCTAGCAGGAGATATTGAAAGTAATCCGGGACCTGATCTAGCACAAATCGCAAAGCAGTTGAAGGAAGTTGCCGTCGATATCAAAGAAATTAAAGAGGGGCGGCTTGCTGATATGGATAAAAAGTTAGATGCCCTGTCGCGCCTTGAACCGAAGATAACTTCATGCGTAAAACAAATAGAAGACATGCATCTGATTACCAAAAATTTGGAAAAACGAATGGACGACCTGGAAAACCAGAGTAGAAGGTCCAATATTATAGTATACGGCTTAGCGGAAACAGAACAGGAGAACAGTGAAAAGTTGGAACAAGCTGTAAATAAAGGCATTGTTCAGGACATACTCGGCTTACAGCCTGTGACCATAGAACGAATTCATCGTCTTGGAAAACCGGCCCAGAACAAAACGAGACCAGTAATGTTGAGGCTACTTGACTCTAGACAGAAATCAATAATATTGCGGGAGGGACGCAAGCTGAAAAATACGGGTCTCTCTATTGGGGAAGATTTCTGTAAGAGAACACGAGAGATAAGAAGGTTGCTGTGGAATAGCGCAAAGGCAAACCGGGAGCATCATGACAAAGTGTCTTTGTCATTGGACAAACTTTACATAAATGATCAAGTATTCACCTGGGATGAGGGCAAGGGGGAGAGGGTCCCGCTGAGAAAAAACGCCGAAGCAAAACGTCCAAACACGCGAAGCAAAACACAGCCGAGGAACTAACACTACTAAATGTAAACGCCAGAAGCATTTTAAATAAGACTGAAGCGTTTGAAAACCTACTCCTTGCACATAACCCTGATATAGTAGCGTTAACTGAGACGTGGCTTTCCCCGGCTATCTCAGATCACGAAATAGTGCCTCCAAATTATTGCATCATTCGAAAAGACCGACCGTCACGTGGTGGTGGTGTGGCGCTGTTGATAAAGAAATCCCTTCCATTCGTACAATTGCCAGATGTGAAGGAAGCTGAGGCGGTGTTCTGCAGAATCATCTGCAACAGCACTGCCATAATTACAGGCTGCGTTTACCGAAGTCCTGACTCGAACGAAGATTGCGTAAGGAACATACATGAGTTTCTGCAGAGCCACGCCCCAAGCCTAAGAATTATCATTATGGGGGACTTTAACTTACCAGACATTAATTGGAACACAAAGGAATATTCATCACATGCTTCCGAAGCGCTGATTGATCTGATGCTAAATTTTAGTCTGGAACAAGTAGTTAGCCAAACAACGCGCTCACAAGGTACTGCAAACAACATACTTGACCTAATACTGCTTAGTGATCACTTTCAACTAAATACATTGCAAACTGGCATTATTGAAGGAATATCCGACCACGATATCCCGATATGCCACCTACCATTATCATGTTCTATTTCGAAAAGGTCCTTTGAAAGCAAAATCATTGACTTTGAGAAATCGAACGACGCTGGCGTTTTGACATCCCTGGCACATGAGTTCACATCATTTTCAGAATTTGCTTCTGATCCGTCGGCAGATATAAATGTCCTCTGGATAAAGTTTAAGGGCATAATACATGACTGCATTACCAAATTTATACCGTTAAAAACTAGGAAACCAAGAAAATACAGCCCATGGGTAACGCGCGAGGTTATACATGCCAAAAGGAAAGTTAAAAGGTTACGTCGTTCACTGAAACATACAGAAAGTCAATCAGTCGTGAAATCTAAGCTGATAGGTGCCAAGCAAGAGCTGAAACAAAAGTTGAACCAGTCACGGAAACAATACTTTAATACAATCCTACCAGATTTCCTAAAAAATAATCCACAGAGATTTTGGAATCACTTTCGTGCACGCAATACTTTGGCGCCAGAACGCACTCATGATGAAAATGCTGTCCAGGCTGATGTATTCAACAAGTACTTTCAATCTGTATTTACTACAGATAACGGGTTTCTTCCATCGGTCGTTTCTACAGGCTCCAGCATCGACCCACTTATCATATCTGACTCGGGAATCCTTAACCTTCTACTTGGATTAGATGCTAAAAAATCAAGCGGCCCTGACAATGTTCCAAATGAATTCCTGAAACGATACGCGGAATGGTGCAGCAGATACCTGGGTATTATCTATCGTTTTTCACTATCAACTGCACGTGTGCCAAATGACTGGAGGAAGGCAAAGGTGATACCAATTCATAAATCAGGTGACATAAACTCTCCGTCTAACTATCGACCCATATCCCTTACCAGTACATCATGCAAGATCCTAGAACATATAATTTCAAAACACCTGACAGTATATCTTGAACAAAATCGCATATTAACACCCAGCCAGCACGGGTTTAGACGCGGAATGTCAACAGTGACGCAATTAACGGAAGTTGTTCATGACCTTGCACAGATAATTGACAATCGCGGCCAAACAGACATTATATTCTTGGACTTTAGCAAAGCTTTTGATCGCGTGTGTCACAACAAGTTAATAGCAAAACTAGAGGCAATAATTGGCATCGGAAATATTTCTGCTTGGATTGGCGATTTTTTATCCCAGCGTTCGCAATTCGTCCATTTCAATGAAGCATCATCCGACATTGTTCCCATCTCATCTGGTGTACCTCAGGGCTCGGTCTTGGGGCCCTTGCTGTTTTTAATTTATATTAATGACATCACCACTAACATGGAATGCAACATAAAGCTGTTCGCAGACGACTGCATTATCTATAAAGAAATACTGTGTTACGAAGACCACCACACCCTGAACAGACAACTTAACGTGATAAACACCTGGTGTGAACAATGGCAAATGTCTATTAATACCAGCAAATCTGTGTCAATGACGGTGACAAAAAAAAGAACCCGTCAGAATTTACTTACTCACTTAACGACACTGAACTAACTAAAGTTTATGAACACAAATACCTAGGACTTACTCTAGCAACCGACCTCAAGTGGAACAAACACATTGCCAACATATCCTCAAAAGCTATCCGTAAGTTATTCTTTCTTAAAAGGTGCTTGAAGTCTGCTCCCACTCCTATCAAACTCCTCAGTTACACAACCTTTGTGCGGCCAGTGCTGGAATATGCTAACACTGTTTGGTTCCCTCACAATATTACTAACATAAATCAACTAGAAAAAGTTCAAAGAAAAGCGATACGGTTCATCCATAACAAATACAAACGTACTGACTCGCCCACTGAACTTCTAGCATCATCCGGTTTAGACACACTGGCAGGCAGAGCAAGACAAGCTCGGTTAAAATTCATGCATAGCCTTCTGCACAACCACTTCAACATAATTTCTTCCAAATATATCACCTTCTCTAGATCCCGGATATCGCGTAATAAACACGATAAAATGTTAACTGAATACTTTTGCAACTCCAACACGTTTAAATACTCATTTTTTCCTACAGCAGTTAGGGAGTGGAACAACCTCGACCCAACAGTAGCTGCCATAGAATCATCATCAATATTTTGTGACGCGATAGGAAATAAGCCCCAACCATGAAAAGGGAAAGGAAAAGGTTTCATATTCATGCAAATTCTTTTTTTAATGGCTTCTTTGTGTTCCATTGGATTGTATTAACCTTGATTCTTCCGTTGTATATACTAATGTTGTATTAGAGAGAACACTTCTTTGTATGACATGCCATTGTACTGTGCACTGCGTGTATTCTGTTGCACTCACGTTGTTATCTGTATGCCCACCTGCTTTGGTCTCCAAGTGAGACTGGCAGTATTGAAAATAAATAAAATAAATAAAATATACGAGTGCCTATGAGCAAGACGGAAACGCTAGGGAGTAATGGCAGCTCGGCAAATACAAAACACCAAGTCAATACCATGGAAGCAAACGATTCCGGAAGTTTGAGCAAGGTGTTGCGGAGAGACCCACCCCCTCACCCCTCGAAGAGTGGACGACGGGAGAGGCTGAGGCCTCGCAACGGGCATGAGGCGATGGTCGCCGACGAGAGCCGTGTTACCGCAGAGACCTCGACTGCGGCAACGATGCAGATCCCGTGAGAGGGGGAGCTGGCGGTCATTTTGGCTGCAGTCACCCTAATTAACATAAGACTGGGCAATATGGATGCCCGACTTGAAGCTGTCAAGAGTCAGCATCACATACTCGCGGTGAAGCGCGACCGCCTAGCGACAAAAGTAGCCTCAACGTCGGTGCGGCACCGCTTCGCGTCCCTGAAAAAGAAAAAGGAGCGGGCCGAAAGAATCAAGGACGCCATCGCGAAAAGGCGCGGTCGACTCGAGACATCCGGTAAGGATGATGCAGAAGCTGAGTAAGAAGCATAAGAAGACCGGAGGAGGACACCACTGTAATTTACCAATGAAACAGCCGCGGCATTCACAATAAAGAAGTGGAGCTACTGTTACATATTGACGGGCAAGAAAACAACCCCGATATAATTGTTCTAGAAGAAACAAATGGGAAACGAAGACTCCCGGGTTGCGTCATTTACACTGACCTCAGGGAAAAAGGAACGACGGTGCTCGTGCGGAGGAACTGGCGGCTACTCAGCACGTCACGGCGCAGGGTGAGTGCGAGCACACGCTGGTCGAAATTCATGCAAGAGAAACTGGCAGCTATGGCAATCTATTCGTAATGAGCGTGCACTGCCGGCCGTCACAACGTCAGTACGAATTTGACTGCATCGTGAGCCAGGCGAAGGGGTTGGCGGGAAGTAGGCCACTCCTGATCATCGGTGACTTTAACGCCCCTCACACAACGTGGGGATATGAATTCCAGTCCAAGAGGACCAAAGTGATGGAGGATCATGAGATGAGCCTCCTGAAAGAACCAGACGTAACCACCAGAAGAGGCAACAGTGTCGTGAGGGACACTACGCCAGACTTGACGTACACATCGGACACACAATATGCGTCACCTGGAAAAAGGAATATGTGGACTTGGGGTCTGACCACAGCATTATCAGCATTACGATCAGAGGCCCCCGATACTGGGCTGTACTGGGAGAGGCGCGTATCACGGATTCGGACAAGAGGATAAATTTTACCCGAGAACACGAAGAGGCGTCAGAGGAAGAATCGAAACCATCTGAAAGAAAACAGACCTACAATAAATGGGCGAGGGACCAGAAAAAGGTCCTCCAAAAATTCACCCAAAAAATCTCAACGACGTCGCAGACACCGTACGCGAATGCTAGACTAACCAACATGTGGGCGGCCTGGCACTCGTCAACGCGGCGGGAGAAGCGTCAGAGACACAACAGAAATCTGGTCAAGTACGTAGCAGTCTTGAACAGACAAATCACAGAGCACGCAGTCAAGCTCTGCAGGGAAAATTGGCTGAAGACCTGTGACGGCTTGCAGAGCAAGCCCTCGGCGTGTAAGACGTGGTGCCTCTTGAGGCATCTGATCGACCCACTGAGTAGCCGAACTGCGACCTATCGCAACCTTGACAAAATATTCAACATGTACAAGGGAGATGGCCGCAGACTCCTGGAAGATCTCAAACCGAAGTACCTAAAAACAGAGAAGGGCCAGTAGACGGTGCCTGAGAGGTACGAGGGACCCGATAACGAAAAGCTCGATGGGCCGTTTACAATAAGGAAAATGTAGACAGTGATAGACAAAAGCAACAAAAAAGCGCACCCGGCAGGGACGCCATAGCTTACAAACTCCTCGGTAACTTGAGCGATGCAGCAACCCGTGGCCTCCTAGTGCACATCAACGAAGCCTGGGAGAGCTCGCAGTTGCTGAAGGAATGAAAGGAAGACGATGTCTGCTTAATTACAAAGCCCTCAAGGCCCTCGCGATAAGCAACATGTGGCCCATCTCCCTCACGTTTTGTGTGCGAAAGGCGATGGAGCACATGGTCCTTCGCCGGCTGCAGAAGCACCTTGAAGAAACAAATCAGATGCCGGAGACAATGTACGGCTTCAGGCAACATCTCAGCAGCTAGGACGTGATGATCCAAACCCATGAGGTG